GAGGAGCACGTGGTGTGAGAAGCATGGCTACTGCCGTAGTGACTCGGGAGAAGGACGCCAGCTCAAACCAGAACGTTCTACAGTCCTCAAGGCAGAAACTAAGCTGCCCTCGGATGCTAAAAAGGGCTGGGGAATGGAAGAGAGCAGCGAGCTGCTGATGGAGCTGGTAACCAGCCTTTTATCATTTCTCTCCTGAGCACTGTGCAGCAGGAGTTGTTCAACAGCAGACTCTTAAGAGTAGATCCAAAACTCAAATGAGGACTCTTTCTGGCCCGAGGAAGATGTCTCACCGAGTTTTTATATGTAATGGGCTGTTAGCTCCCCTATGGACTCATTTTCTATTATACACTTCACCTTAAGGAGTAACATATGAAGCATATTGCCACCTAAGACTTCACAGAATCACAGAATGGCAAGGGTTGGAAGGGACCTCAGGAGATCATCCAGTCCAACCCCCCTGCTAAAGCAGGTTCACCTAGAGCAGGTGACATTGTCCAGGCACGCTTTGAATATCCACAAAGGAGACTCCACAACCCCCCTGGGAAGCCTGTTCCAGTGCTCTGTCACCCTCAGAGTAAAGAAGTTCTTCCTCACATTCAACTGAAACCTCTTATGTTTCAGTTTGTGCCCGTTGCCCCTTGTCCTGTCGCTGGGCACCATTAAGAAGAGTCTGGCTCTGTCCTCGTGACTTCCACCCTTAAGATATTTGTATGTGTTGATGAGGCCCCCTCTCAGCCTTCTCTTCTTCAGGCTGAACAAGCCCAGCTCCCTCAGCCTTTCCTCAAAGGGGAGATGGTCCAGTCCCTTTATCATCCTAGTTGCTCTCCTCTGGACACTCTCTAGGAGTTCCTCATCCCTGAACTGGGGAGCCCAGAACTGGACACAGTACTCCAGGTGCGGTCTCAAAACTGCACACTTAGCAAAGCCAACAACATAAAAAGATGACGCTGATCCTCCATCATTTCCTAAGACATGGAGAAGTATCTGGATGCAGATACACATGATTTAGTCAATTTGCACTGTGCTGTGTGATGTTCTAGAAACAAACAAACAAAAAAACATCCAGAAAGGAAAACAAAAGCATGCCACTAATGGTTTGAAACTTAATAACATAACTGACATGGCATTCGCTTCCTTTCAGCGTTATTTTTCAAACCAGCATTTGAAGCTTGAGAAGCAAATGGCAGGTATTAAGCCCATGCCTTTCAGGCATGAAACTCTTTATTAGTAGGCTAGCCTTACCAGCCTCTAATTTCCAGCTTTGTCTAGTGGGTGCATGTCAGCTCCACTACAAAGAGATTTAATTAGTCTGTAATTTGACATTGCAACACACCAGCTAGACAGATCCACGAAGGACATGTATCAAACTGCAGAGCAAACTGCAGATTTGCATTAAGTTGGAAGCAAGAACAACTGCCATGTCCAAGACAACTCATGCTAACTGCTGCAACAATAACATAAATAAGTGAATAATGCACAGCAAAGTGCTAAAGCTTTGTCCATACCTGAGATACAGAAGGTCGAGGGGGCAGTGCAGGCGGTGGTGGGGGCAGCCAGCCAGACCTCACAGCTGAACAGCGAGAAAAGAGGAAAGAAAAAAACCCAAACAAAACCACATTAATTTAATTCCAAATAAAACCAGAATTAATTTCCATGATAATTCCTAGTGAAGAGGCAGTATTCAACATTTTAATAACAGAAACCAAACTTCACCCTTATTGAGCAAACCCTGTTGAAATTATTTCATGAGCAGTGAATGAGCAGTGATTTAATTGCTGTAAAAACCCACAATGTTATGATAAAAAGCAGAGATCGAAGCCAGTCAGCCACAAAAGCTGTAGCTAAAGCAATCCAATTCTAGTTAAAGAACCCCAGAAACAGGGTCTACTTGTCCTTGGGACTTTGCTCTCTGTCATTAACATTATTGCCTTTTTTAAAAGTGATGCTCTTGTATCCAATGTAGATATTAGCGTTCACCCCAGGTAAAACACAGTATGTGATGGAGTGCAGCCTTAAAAGAAAACATCTGCCATGGAATTAATAGGACAAAAGCCTAAAGGAAGCAAAAAGAAATCAGTTTCTTTGGCTCTATGTTTTGTATTTGCATGTTATTATTCACTGGAGGTATTTCGGAGGGAGGAGAATTAAGGGGAGGAAGACAAACCCTGATGGTCAGTTCAGGACCTTTTACCATAACGCAACGTCAGCTTTTAGTTTGAGCCAGCACAAAGGGAGGGTAACAATCATCAAGGTCTGGCCACTGTATTTCTCAGTTTCCTTAAAAGACCTAAACCCCATCATGGGATGAAACTACAGGGCAGATGATGGCTTCCAAAGGCAGCTGCAGAGAGGAGGACTAGGCCAGCACCAAGACACCAACCAGGACTAGTGAGAGTCCTCGGGTGGGTTACCCTCCCCAAGCTCCTGTCACCCTGAGTACTCAGCACCTGCGCTGGCAAAGATACCAGACAGTCCATCTTGCACCGGTGTACAGCAAAAAAACCCCAATGTTATTAAACTTAGAAATGCCTTTTACCGCAATAATGCTAAGCAAGCAATTACTTTTATACACTTTTTATTTCCATGCATATTTTAAAAAGCCACAAAGACCATAACAAGCCCTGTTACAAGCCTTAGCCATTTACATATTTTATACACCAAGTCTAAAAATGTCTACATGGTTGAAAATACAAAGACAAAAGATATGAACCATTAAGGACAACAGTGACATGAGAGTAAAAATGTGTGGGTGAAACCATTCAGAACAGTCATATTGACTATATACAGCTCCAGAGAGGCTTATAATACATTGGGGTTTTTTACATCTTCTGTATCATCACCTCCTGAATCAAAATGAAGCCTAATATCACTGCACACAGTGCCAAGGAGAGAGGCAGAACAATTAAAACCCAACTTAGGTTAAGCAAGGGAGCCACTAACACACCTACAGGTGTAAGAGAGACTTGAAAAAACATGCTCATTAGGATCCTTTCTCTTGTGTTTAATTAGTTTTGTTTATAAGGCCACTGCAATACCAGCATGACATCAGCACTACTACATTCCCCATCTCTTCTGCACAACTAATCCTTAGAAAGGAACAGTGGAATAAGAAACCTTCCTTTCCTGTAGTCTGAACTTCAGGTTATTTCATTTATCTGAGCACTGGCAGTGGTTTTGGCAATCATCGCAGCTAATAACAATATTTGAAAACACCGCCTAACTCGAACACCAGCGCTCTGCAGGTCCATCTGCCGCACGCTGCGATAGGCGACAGGCACGCACGCTCAGCGCGATACGTTTACCTTCAGGAAACCCTCTGGGAGTGCCTGCTGCGATGCTCCATGGAAAACACCTGCGTGCACCCCACCCTCCCACCACCACCAGTGATTACCACTGCGAGGGTGTCGCCTCTGCTCTCCAAACCAGCTCTAACGTCATGAGGGAGCACACAGCAGGCATCTCACACGCTGCCTAACAAGCCCCTGGCAGCCCACACGTGAAGCTATGGAGTGAATTGCTGCCATGGGCACGGGGGTCCATGGGAAGGGGCATGTGAGGCCGGGGGCAGCGGTGCTGCAGGCTCCCTCGGCCCTTCCAAATGTACGTAGCCCCTCCCAGGGATCATCATTTTCGTATGTGCAGGCCCTCAAAAGTTTTACTGCAAGAGCTGCACCCGCTGAGAACTGGCCTCAACTTCAACTCTAGAGGATACGACCCTTACTGTCCTTGCTCCCTGGTTCTTCAAAGCCAGCGATACACCTACAAAAGCAGCGGGGTAGTCTTTACGCAGAAAGGCACTGGGCTTGCTGGGAAAGCATCTCCTGAAGTGGTTGCCCACACTGTGAAACCCCAGAAGTCTCCTGGGATTTGCCCCACAAAATTTCAAAGGGCAAAGTAATATTTCTGCAAGAAAACAAAAAAAAAAACCAACCAACAAAACACCAAAAACCCCCCGCCCCCAAAAAACATTTCTTCAGTTTTCAAAATACAACATAGATGAATTTAGCATTAAAGAAGTTAGATGCTTACGCCATGTGCATTTGACCCAGTTTCTTCTTTTTAATCCTGCAAATTCTAACTTAGGCTATTCATGAAATATGCAAAATCCTGCTGTTGCAGAACATCTTCAGCCTGTTAGAAGGAAATCATGCTTATGTGGGCACAATTGCTAGACAAAAGCTAGTTGACTTTTAAGGACTCAACAACTTATAAAAAAACCCCCTTTTTTTTTTTTTTCCCCCACGGGGCAATGAAAAAAAAATTAACGATAGATGCTGCATGCTTCAGCCTTCTCTAGTCTCACTACCCTAAAAGAGGGCAATATTAAACAGATAATCATACGTTTTTATGTGTATTAGCAGGTGACCTGTAATATTCGGCTATTCCAGAATGCCTGCCTTCCTGGGAGACCACCCTGCACAGACTGGCTCTTGCTGTTGGAGATGGCACTGCTATGGTCGCTCTGAAAGCAAACCCAAATACAGGGGGAGCTCTCTTTCCAAAATGAAAGCAAGTGTCCTGGGACTGAGCAGCAAACAGACAAATGTCCTCCTATTCCCAGGTGCACACCCTAGAGCTGGGATGAGCTGCACGCCATCACTCTTCGAAAACAAATCTTCACACCCTGCACAAAAGCAGAGGGAGCTTGGAGGGAACAGGATGAGCCTCGCATGGGTCCCCTTGCTACCGAGCAGCTCGGTGGCATTCATGCCAGGGTGAGCAATGTACAGCAAATCTCAGGGACAGCACTGTGGAAAGGCCATACAGGTACTGGTAAAAGAGATTCAACTATATCCAGTATCCATATCACATGTATTCCTGTAAATGATAGCATTTTCACGCAGTAGTTACTCCCACAAAGATAGCGATAAGGCTTTCAGTTAAAAAATCACGGCTCTCCACTTAGCATGTTTACACTTTAAGGGGGATTGTCTGCATGGAAAGCTTCCAGGACCATTTTTCTCCCCTATTTTGGCAATTACAAAGGCCTGATAGCACTAACAGGACACCACATTAGATAAAAAAACCCAGATTTTCCAATCTGAAGCTTGATTAATATTTTAAAACAAACACCAGGCTGTAATGCTACACTCTGAGAACAGGCCATGCCATCCTATCTGGCCATGCCACTCTGCCTAAATCCTAAAGGCTGACCTGGATCTAGACAGCCTAAATCCAGGTTCTTGCTGTTCTGCTTCCCCACCACTACCACTACCACCCCTTCTGCAATTGGGTGGGGACCATCCAGAGACTTAAATTGGGAGAAAACTCTGATAGGGTTCCTCAGTAGAGTCCAGCTGATGTCTTTGGTATTTATCAAGTGGAAGCTACAGCACTGTTGGATCAAGGGAGAGGCTGGTTGCACGGCAGATTTACATCAGTTTACACTGCTTCAGAGGGCTTAGCTCCCAGATCAGGTTTAACAAAAGACCAAACAATTCATTTTATCAGAAAGCAAAGGATCTGCAAAAGATAAGCCAACAGAATGAATTATTCTTCAGTTCCCCAAGCCACCTAAGGCTTCGGTTCCTCAGGTAGTTTGGGAAGCTGGCATTTTCACCCTTCCACTCTGATGTTATTTTAGAGAGTTTTTCGATACTTTTCCTGCTTCTCTTGCCAAAGGCAGACCGCAGAATGGTTCTGTGTCTAAGCTCATTTCTGTTTACCTCTGTCTTACAAAACTTCCCTTCTTGTTCCCTGAAATTGGTACTTGGATAACCCATAGTACCATTCTCTGCACTCCTTCATTTATTTACATTCCTGACAACAGCATTAGCAAGGTGATTGTGAAATAACTGTTTTTCAAGAGATCTGATTTATTAATTCTCACCACTATGTGTGCGCAAAGTTGCAACAAGGAAAAGAAAAAAAAAAAAAAAAAAAAAAAAAAAAAAGGAGCTGTAGCCAGGAATGTAAACTTAACGAAGGATTCTAGTAAGGTGACTGTGAAATATCTGTTTGCCCAGGGATCTGTTTCAATAGTTCCTACTAATGTCTCCTCAGAAGGTAACAGCAGTGTGAAAAAAGATTTTAGACTCCTGATATTAATTTTGTTTTCAGGTTTGTAGAAAGACTGTAGAAAGCATCACCAGTGCCAGAATAACCTCTCTTCTCACGGTTAGTTTTGGGAACCTGCCCAGCAGCAAAGCTTCATGCGTCACAGCGAGTGACACGCACACCTGATGTCAGAGACAGACTCTTGTTACATGTGTGTTCCATGCTCTCATCATACAGAACATCAGTCGTACCTCGACTGCACGGAAAATTATCCAAGCACTTTCCAAGTGTTTAGGAAGAGCTATAGCCAGACCTCAAGCAATTAATGCTTCTGCACCATGAACTTGCAGGTGTGACTTCATTTAGGACACTGGTGTACTTAAATATTTGATGGGTCACTTTGAAATCAAGCAAGCAAGACACTACTAAAGGTGGGGTTTATGATGTCTTTTTACAACACGCTATCCATGAAATTCAGCATGTTCTATGTAAAAGCTGTAAAATTTTTTTTTTAAACACCTATTTTCTGTTTTGTCTCACATATCTACAACATCTGTATTTTTAACTTCCTGT